GGGGGGGGGGGGGGAAGAAATCTTAATACATATACTTCGAAAACTTTCAGCATCTTTCAATGATACTCTCATCTTCAAAACAAGATGCAGAAACTCCTCTTGTACAATAAGCACTTTTATTGAGTGTCTCAGCATTCCACACACGTCCTAGTCAACACAATACATTGCTGAACTACAATCTAAACTGGTCTTTAATTAAAATGGAAAAAAAGAGAGACTTTAATTTTGCTTGTATAAAAAGTGGTCTCTCTGTGATGTACAATTAAGTTACTGTTAAACCTCTCCAACCCCCTCAAAAAACAGGGTAGTTATCACATAAATTGTTACTGAGGGGATATTTTATCTCCTTGGGTTTCAAAGCCAAACATATTCTACCTTCCCATGGTATTTTTAACATAAAAAGGAATCACTAAAGTTAGTTTTTTCTGAGGCTGGAAAGTGTTTTCTATATCAAAGTCTGACATAGCCTTTATGAAGTGTTTTTGTTATCAGGCAGCAAAATAAGTTTAGATACATTTCAGTTGTGCCAGAGGTTAGTTTCAGACATAAACCAGATTTCCAGAAACAGCACTGTTCCCAAGTACCTGCAGTAGCCTAAACATGGCAAGATTTTTTCCTAGAGATTCTTAATGACAGCTGCATTAATGAAGTCACGGGTCCTGATCCTATACCAATATCGTTTAGTTCCCATTGCAGAACCAGGGCCCTATACTATGACCTACAATAGGTCGTTTATTGCAGTTTTGGTACAACTTTTGAAAATAGTTTATTATAAAAACATTAGTCAGATTTGTTTTTTAAAGTAAGAGGATTGTTTGTTAATAATAAACCCAGGCTAGGAAAGATGTTATATTTAACATCTTTCCAACATTTATAAACATTCTTCTCAGGATGAAGAATACACCACTCTTATGGTGCCAGTCTATACATTTTTTGCAATCTTTTACTGACATTTAATATTTACTGCTACTCAGGGCAATCAACATTGCAGTACTTGCAGAGGTGTTCTGCTGTAAGGAGACAGGACTATGCTGCTAACAGGTGCATTTATGCAGAAGAGTTGACTTGATCAGCAACCAATTATAAATTCAAATCAATCATTTCTAAACTATTATCCTGACGTGAGGTGATTAGTTTCCTCAATGGCATCCAGAGATGAAACTGTCCTTTAAACACAGAAATTAAAAGACCAAGTTATATAAACCACTCCCCTATGGTATAAGAAAGGCAGATATTTCTTGGAACACACACACACAAAATCAGTTTTTTCATTACATCTCCTTTCTGAAAAGCAGAAAGTGATTTTAGTCAGCAAAAGAATGTCATCACTATGTTACAAAACATAACATTTCCTTTGGGGGTTTAAGCAGCAAACAGCATAAGAAACCTATGAAATTTAGAAAAGAAATGGAGTTTGGCTTGCATCAGACTGGTTTCTGCTGCATCACTATCTTCAACCCCATAAAAGCAACTAATGTGAAAAGCAATCCTTTAAAATAAGCCCATAAAAGCCAATCAAGCAGGTAGGCCTGAACAAGAGAAAAATAAAGGCAGATGTCACCAATGGACATAGATGAACGGGGTTGTTGGAAAAGCAATGCTGGACCTTTTACAGAACTTCCACATAATTAGAAGTTACTAGTTTTGAAATTTCCCTCCACTGCTGATCAGAAAGTTCTGAAAGCAGAAGCAGATTCCCCACAAATGCAGATATCCTGCCAGGACAGAAGCAGTTTTCAGTAAAGCTGGTAAAACCAAAGTGCTGGCAAAAAAAAGAGTCTTAAAGTCACTTTTGTGAATTAAGTTCTATTTTGTCATAGCTTAAATTAGGTCAGGAAGGCATCACCTAATGAGCTCTCAAAATCCACTGCTAACAGCACCTGCAGCCACACATCACCTTCTCATCTTCTTAATACATAAAACATGTAGCTGGATCTGCCAGCTCCTTTTATCCTCACTAACTGCAACTCAATGGAGAAAACTATTCAGCCTGCAAATTAATGACCAAGGCCTTGCTTTAGGGAAAAAAAGACTCATTCTGGAGTAAGCTTATACCTTGTGAAGGCAGATTCCAAATTAAATCAGTGTTAATAATCTGAATGTGGAATTTTGCACAATTTTTACATGGCAGAACAGAACACACATGCATGCAACTTGAATCCTTAACAGGAAGCTGCCTCTGCTAATCAGCACTCTGTTCCAAAGATCTACAAAGGCAACGTAAAACAACCTTTTTGTAAAGTATTGAAGTGAGCCATCAAACCAGATAGGACAAGTTTCAATCCTTCTCCCCCGGTGCATTTAATTCTTTGCCAGTCAGTGATTTGTATTACTTAGTAAGTGCCTGAGATAGCAAATCACAACACTCCTTAAACAGCCTACCAAGGAGAGAATGAACTAATCACGGTAAAAGATGCATAAAGGCAGAAGAAGTGTGGATATTAATGGGCTTGTTCAAGCTTCCAAATGATTAAAAGATGGCAGGTAAAAACAAGATTAAAAAGACAGTGAAATATCCTGAGCAATATACACTTATAATGGGCACCTATACATTTTCTGCTAGTCTTTTTTTCTTTTTTAAAAAAGAATGTAGCACATATGCCACCAACAGTGAAAGGAACAGCATCAACTAGTTTTGAACCTGTTTCAAGTCAGCAAAATGTCATCGCCAGGTGCCCAAGCCATGTGCTTTCCCAGTAATATTTTGTCCAATAGAAAGCAGCTGAGATATGTTTAATGCTCTGCTTTTTAGCCAGATAAACTTTTAGAAGACTGCGGAGACCAAAACGGGTAAGAGTTCTCTTAGGTTCTTTGCATGCTGGAAGTGGTGTGTTTACATCAAGTCACAAGATGCTCAAATATACAACTCTCTCTAAAAAGGGAAGGGGTTCATATGAATTTAGTACTTATTTAAGGTATTGTATGAATAGCCTAAGACCCCAGTCTTCCATTCACAGACAAAAGTATGCAGTATCAGCTGAAGAGGGGGAATTCTGTTTACCGGTCTCTGTCACAGTGGTGAACAAAATTGTCACGGTCAACCATGGAGGTTAATTTTGTTAGGCTGATGCTTATCCATCAATAATCCAACTGAGTTCAAAACTCATTTTAAAGATCCGCAAAAAAGGCAGGTACTCATTTCGTTATCCCATCCTTGGCTCAGTCCAAATGATTATTGCATTCAACAACAGCATCTACAAAAGCATCAGGAGGACATAGCAGACAGAAAGGCCCGTCTGAAATCAGAAGACTGGAAGTAGGGAAAACCTTTGTGAATTACTCCTAGAAATGCAAAGCCAGAGTCTGAAGGTATGTGTACTGCATGTTTAATTCATTAAAACATGACAGTGATGGAAGAAAGTAATCACAGAAGAGAATAGGACAGAAACTGCCCCCCCTCTATTTCACTTTAAAACTTTTAAAAATGTAAATGGTAGTCAGCAAGCTGCTTGTGCCACACAGGTCTGAATCTCCATTTGGAAGACAGATCTTGTATATCAGATAACCACCTACTGGGTCAGCTGGGAAAAAGCAGCTCATACAAAGGAGCATGCAGCAATCTCAAAAAGGGAGGCTTTCGGAGCACATTTTTTTAGGTCCTGGTCTGCAAATGTTAACAAAGGCATGTACCTTTACACACAGTAATTTTTACTAGACTAGGGCCTTTCTCGGTTAAAAATTAACATTTGGCTATTATCTCAATGCTACTAAAGTGAGCCTGTTAAATGCTTTCTCTTTGGCAAAAGGGAGATCAACACACTTAAAGACAGCATAACTGCATGCCACACCTGACATGTTATAACTTTTGTCAAACAGATTGTTGGATAAGAATCTCAGAAGTATCCACTGAAGTGCCAGTGGAAAATATTTAGAGTTAATTCTTGCAGCTCAAAAACTGCGTTTTCAGCATTTAAAATAGACTAAACTTTTAAAATTAGCAGTATCTGTTCTAAAATGGGCAGAACACACTATACTTTTCTTTGCAAGAAGTGAGGCAAAAACATAGTTTTTCTTCTTACTCTGTGGCCAGGGACATGTGACACACTAATACACCCGAACAGGGCATCCAGCACTAAGGCCTTTACCCTTAAGCCAGCTGCAAAAAGATGTGCTGCCCAGAGTGACCTTTTATGTGTTCACTAAGAAGAAGAGTGTTAAATCTGATGGTTCACTCAAGATTATGCCATTTTAATGATAGCTAAGTCACTAACATACCAGAGAAAGAAATGGGAATTGCCCAAGATTTTTTTTTTCTTTTTTAAGAAATCTGGCAAGATGAACCATCCAGGATCACATACTACACAAAGAATTTCTGTGAAGTCTTTAAAGTTTTCGGACTTTTCTTTCAGTGCTGGTAATATTGACATCCAGAGTCTCGACTTTTTGGGTTAACCGGTCAAGAATGGTGTCCTGTTCATCAATTTCCGTCTGCAGACCCAGGGCTAGGTTTTTCAGACGGCTCAGCCCAGAGGACATCTCATCTGTCAATGGAGAGAGGGAGTTTGAAGGTTCAAAGACTGGGAAGCATGCCATTCTAACAGAGATAGTCAAACCCCACCCCCCACAAAAAACTTGATATTAAAAGATGTCAGTGACAACTGCTTAGATCTATTTTTCATAGTACTAGAAACACAAATGTTCCAATTCTTCTAGTGTATTCACACCAGAGACTGGTTTTTTTGTTATAAGTACATTGTGAACCATGAAAATGTTAATATTTAGTCTTTATAAAACTAAACATTGTTTTACTTTAAACATGGCAGCAACCTACCACCCACAGGCTGGATCACCCAGAGATGTGGGGCTTTGGAGGCATTTGGTGGTGGAGGACTTTGGCTGCAGGCGCTTTCCCCAGGCTGCCATAGGGATCAGCGCTGGTGGTGGCCAAGTCCTAGCATCTACCTGCCTGCCTCTGACCAGGGGTGGGTCACTCTGGCCTGCAGCCAGAAAAATATGCCTACTCCTGAACTACGATATTCTCCCTGCATTTTTTAAGAATTGTTTTCCCCTTTAACTATTCCATACCCTATCATCTGTTGTTCTTTAATGTGACATTTAGGGTCAAGGGTATACTCAAAATACCACAAAATTAAATAGCTAACTGTTCACTTCAGACAAAGATATCTACTCTTTCCCATGTTCTAGGATACATTCTCGAAATGACTGGAAATGATTTATTACCCGATTGGTTAGTGCTAAGGCTTTGGAAGCTAACAAGATGTGGATGAGATGGGATAGAAATAAAACAGCTTTATCTCCCTCAACTCTTTGGACTCAGCAACCCCTTTTATCCCTGGTGCATTTGGCTTGTTTCAACTTCTTTCCAGGCCAGACAGGAGGAGGACGTACCCTGTACAAAGGCTCTTTGTATATACTAACAGCCACTGAATTAGAATGGATTAGGACAGTGCTATCTTAAGAGTACCAATACATGGAGAGATACAGAAAATCCACACATTGAGGTTTTTCCTGCTGCTTTTTCCATTCTTTCCAGAATTCAAACTCTCATGTTTTAAACATTTGTAAAGTCTTTGGAATCTAAATAGGTCACTATTTTCATCTTTGTGGTTTAATTACAATTCATATAAATTCAAACATACTATGCAAAATGAAATGGTACAATCCAGGTAAGTGTGAAGTACAGGGTTCTTATTTCTAATGTTAACATGAGTCAGTGTTTCTTCATGGATACTTTTAGCAGTAAAAGCCAACTAATGTGCTTTTTCAGCATAGCTGGAACCACTTCCTTGGTCATGCTGTTCCCTTCCCTTGAAAGAAGGTTGCATAAGAATGCCTGCACATTTGGCATTTTTGAGCAACTGAAAAGATCATCATGTATTTTTGAGTAGCTCAGGGATACTGTGACCTTCTTTAAGTTAGGAATGAGGATTTTTCATTAAAAACCAATTAGATTTCAGATGCAATGTGGCTTTCTTTAAAAAAGGAAAACAAAAACAAACTTCTCAGGAGCAATTCACTAACTCTCTCAATCATTTTAGTCTTCAAGTGAAACCTCATGTTGAAATTAAAGCTGTAGGAACATGGGGAACAGCCAATATGGAGACCTAGGCAGGAACACCTCCATACAGATGTCAGCCTCCATATTTTTTAGACTGCTTCTAAATCCAACCCAGCTTTGAGCTCTAACTGGCTTTAAATGAAATGCTCTTCTAAGTCGGATCTATTACTAACCTCTGTGGGTTTCAAGAATCAGCTGTTCCACAGCACTATACCGTCTGGTCAAGATGCTTTTAGTCAAGCATTGGGCTACTAAGTTGACATGATGTGGAAAACATGTTGGGGCCTAATCACAAAAAGGTATCCAGACCTACCAGCAGATTAAACATGAGGGAGCTTTTAAAAGAGAGACAGTGCAGACAAAGCTCCACAGATGAACTAAATGCAAAGTTTTGGGGTCACTGGAGTTTTGGGTTGGCTAGAAACCTGCTGCTCAGAATTTGTGCAGGCTTTAAAATAGCAAGCTGTGAAAATCAGTTTAACACGCATTACTTCAGTTGCTTACTCACCCAAGTTGCTGTCAATTTTCTGGTGGTAGGCACGAACATGTTGATTCTTTGGATAAATGTCAGGCTGGACAGAATAACCTGAATTGGCCCCACTGATTTCACACTCTGTTAAAAACGTAAGACGGGTATAGAACTTTTCCTTGTCAGTTCTAGCTCTGCATTTTAACATTTCAGTAACAGCAGAAATATTAATATAATCAATCTGGTTGACTTACAGATACTTTGTTACCACGTGACCCATTGGCTGAAACCTAAGACTGAAACCTAATACAATCAACCCAACATCACAGTAAAGAAAACTGGCTTTAAGATATGCAGGGACCCACTCCCACAAATGAATTTACCAGTAGTACATTATAGCAGCAACTACTGTGCAGTCCTGTTATGTAACTGGGAAAGGAAGAAAAGCAGGCCATAGCTGCTAAATCCATTCAGTGCTCCCCAGAAGGCAAGTCACCTGACAGCTGCCTGTGCCCCCTGGTGGACAGTCTTCAAAACATTGTCAGGAAATTTAAGGTTTACTACAAGAGAGGCCACAGAAGTATTCAAAGAACCCTCAATTTTGCTGGCTGGCTAATTCACTGAAAGGCTCTTTGTTGTAAATCAACTATTAACCATTTGCACAGATTAAAGGTGTTTGGTCTGTTGACAAATGCCTACAAGTCTTAACAACAGAGCAGCCAAACACTAGTTTGAACCCTGTGTCAAAACATTTAAATGCTTATATTTATAATCCAATTTATTCAAGACATCCAACTACTTCATATACTCTGTTATTGTTAGGGCACCAGTCTGCACTAAGCCAGTTAAAGCATAATGTTACTTTATTTGTAGATCTACAAAATTTAAATATTTCCTCTCAAAACCAAAGCGAAAGCTAGTTAGAAAGCAGACAATAGCCACTCGGATCTAGATGAGACGAGCAAAAGCTGCAGGAGATAGACCAAAAGGCAACATGTTGTCATGGGGGAAATAAGCTATTGCCCCCAACATTAGCTTTGGTTTACATCTGTACCAGTAAGAAAGCCATGCTTGTGAGCCACAGTAGCACTGTTCAGAAAGAGCAAATCTGAACTATGTTTTAAATACACTCTGGCATACAACAGTGAGATTCCCAGGCACTGCCTCCTTTTTCCACACAGATGCAAAAATCTTTGAAGCATTTACATTCTTTATTACCAGTATCTGTATGGAATAGAAAATCCTTATGATAAGGCTTAACACATCCAGCTCTAAACCATGCACAGTACACTCACTACCACTGTGATAGATACCAAATAAAAAGTTAAACAAACCTAAATTGTCTAGCTTCCTTAAATTTGGATGACTCTCCTGGTACTTTGCTTCTTGTTCTTTACTGCTGGCCATGGCTTCTTTTAGTCTGGTGACAGAGGAAACGCAGGTTAGATTCAATGCTTCTTAAGCAGCACTAATCCTCAAATTCCTCTAAAAACAGTGGACTGTTTCTTACTTAGAACCAATTCCCTCCTACTCTTACACATTAGCATTCATGGGTAATCCTAGATGGTCCAATCCTGGTCCTACTGAATGATGGCTAGAAAGTGATATTTAGTTTGCTTTTAGGAATTATTTTGTAGGTAAAGCAGATGTACATTGGAATAATAGTCCAGGGGAACAGCAAGGGTTAATTGGTGTCTAAAGCCTGTTTGTGATTAAGTGCCCTTCAGGGCCCACTGTGTCTGAAGCAAGTGGGCATATACATCTTGGGAAATTAAAAATATCCAGTATTCCACAACATAAAAATAGCCTTGCCACATTGGCACCAGGTCACAGTGACCAGCTGCAGAGCCCTTGGGATTTCCAGTTTTGGTGAACAGACCAAATTAGAAGGCTGGGGCACATCCAAATTAAGACATTAGTAAATGTCCTAATTGGCCAGTGTCATAGCTGAGCTGCTGGCAGGGCTGTATGAGCACTCATGGTGCTCTGGCCAGGTCCCTGAGGACTAGAAAAGGGCCAATGTGGTGCCCATTTTTAAGAAGGGGAGAAGGGAGGAGCCAGGTAACTTTAGGCCAGTCAGTCTTACCTCTGTGCTTGGGAAAACACTGGAAAAAGTCATTAAAGAGTGCATTTGTGAAGGCCCAGCAGGGGACATGATGCTGAAAGGAAACCAGCATGGGTTTGTCACAGGTAGATCCTGCCTGACAAACCTTATAGCCTTTTACGACCAGCTTACACACTGCCTTGATACAGGAGCTGAAGCAGATGTCATCTACCTGGACTTTATGAAGGCCTTTGATACAGTTTTGCATCCTATTCTCATAAGGAAGCTAGCAGGCTGTGGAGTGGACACTTACACAGTCAGGTGAGTGGCCAACTGGTTTAGGGACCACACCCAGAGAGTGGTGGTGGATGGGTTGTTTTTGGGCAAGGAGGGAGGTGGGCAGTGGTGTCCCACAGGGTAAGGTCCTTGGACCAGTGTTATTTAATATCTTCATTAGATATTTGGATGAGGGTGTGGAAAGCACCCTGTCCAAGTTCACAGATGACACTAAGTTATGGGGCAAAGTTTCATAGTTGTAGGGTCAGAAGAGACCTGAGCAGATCATCAAGACTGACCCCCTGCCATGGGCAGGAAAGAATGCAGGAGTCAAACAACCCCGGCTAGGTGATTATCTAATCTCCTTTTGAAGACCCCCAGGGTAGGAGTGAGCACCGCTTTCCTTGGAAGTTGGTTCCAGATCTTAGTTAACACACATGAGGGCAGGGAGCAGATACAGGCCAATCTGGACAGGTTGGATCAATGGGCAGAACAAAACAGGATGCAATTCAACAAAGACAAATGCAAGGTCTACACCCCAGGGTACTCAAGGAACTGGCGAGCATTGTAGCCCAGCCTCTGGCACGGATCTTTGAGAACTCCTGGCACTCTGGTGTAGTGCCCGAAGACTGGAAGAAGGCCAATGTGGTGCCTATCTTCAAGAAAGGGAGGAAAGTGGATCCGGCCAACTATAGGCCCATCAGCCTGACTTCTATCCCAGGGAAGGTCTTAGAAAAGTTTATTAAAGAGGCCATCCTTAATGGACTGGCCGACGCCAACATCCTGAGGGATAGCCAGCACGGGTTTATTGTGGCTAGGTCTTGCTTGACCCATCTCATTTCCTTTTATGACCAGGTGACCTATCACCTGGACAAGGGAGAAGAGATTGATGTCATAGATCTTGACTTGAAAAAAAGCCTTTGATCTGGTATCCCATGATCACCTCTTGGTGAAACTGGCCAATTGTGGCCTTGGGTCCACCACCATCCGCTGGCTGGGAAATTGGCTCCGTGGTCAGTCCCAGAGGGTGGTAATTGATGGAAGTCAATCATCAAGGTGCCCTGTGACCAGTGGGGTCCCCCAAGGCTCTGTCCTTGGACCCATGTTGTTCAACATCTTCATTAATGATGTGGACATTGGAGTCAGGAGCAGACTGGCCAAGTTTGCTTATGACACCAAACTTTGGGGCGAAGCATCCAGACCTGAAGACAGGAGGGCAATCCAGGCTGACCTGGACAGCCTCAGGAAATAGGCAGACGAGAACCTGATGGTGTTTAACACTGAAAAATGCAAGGTTCTCCACCTTGGGAGGAAAAACCTGCAGCATCCTTACAGGCTCGGCAGTGCTGCGCTGGCTAGCACTACGGAAGAAAGAGACTTGGGGGTCATCACTGACCACAAGATGAACATGAGCCTGCAGTGCGATGCTGCATCTAGTAAAGCAAGCAAAACGCTGGCTTGCATCCATAGATGCTTCTTAAGCAAATCCCAGGACATCATTCTTCCCTTAGTGAGGCAGCAGCTGGAATACTGCGTCCAATTTTGGGCTCCACAATTCAAAAAGGATGTGGAGAAGCTTGAGAGAGTCCAGAGAAGAGCCACACACATGATCAGAGGTCAGAAAAACAGACCTTATGACGACAGGCTGAGATCTGTGAGGCTCTTTAGCCTGGAAAAGTGCAGGCTCAGGCCACCTATAAGTTTATCAGGGGTGACCACCAGTATCTGGGGGAACGTTTGTTCAGAGCGCCCCAAGGGATTACAAGGTTGAATGTTCATAAACCACCTCAAGACCGCTTCAGGCTGGACATAAGGAAGAATTTCTTTACTGTCTGAGCCCCCAAGTTCTGGAATAGCCTGCCACTGGAGGTGGTTCAAGCACCTACATTGAACACCTTCAAGAGTAAATTGGATGCTTATCTTGCTGGGATCCTATGACCCCAGCTGACTTCCTGCCCTTTGGGTGGGGGGCTGGACTCGATCTTCTGAGGTCCCTTCCAGCCCTGATGTCTATGAAATCTATGAAGGTATTCCACCTAGGAAGGAGGAATCCCCAGCACACCTATAGGTTGGGGGATGACCTCCTCAGCAGGTCAGCGGCTGAAAGGGATCTTGGAGTCATAGCTGACTCCAAGACGAACATAAGCCGGCAGTGTAACGAAGCCATCAACAAAGCCAATCACAACTTATTATGCATTAGCAGATGCACGACCAACAGATCAAGGGAGGTGATGCTTCCTCTCTATGCGGCACCGGTCAAGCCGCAGTTGGAGTACTGTGTCCAGTTTTGGGCACCGCACTTCAAGAGGAATGAGGAGAATCTAGAGAGGGTTCAGAGGAGGACCACTGGCATGATTAGTGGCCTCCATGCAAGACCCTACGAGGGGAGGTTGAGCGATCTGGGTCTCTTCAGCCTTCACAAGAGACGTCTGAGGGAAGACCTTGTAGCTGCCTATAAGTTTATCAAGGGAGGACAACAGAGAATTGGAGATGAGCTATTTATCAGGGCACCCCTAGCAATAACTAGGAATAATGGGTACAAACTAGTGGACAGTAGATTTAGGTTAGACATTAGGAAGACATTTTTCATAGTAGGGGTGGCCAGAATCTGGAACAAGCTGCCAAGAGAGGTGATACTATCACTTAACTTGGAGGTCTTCAAGAGAAGGCTAGACAGACACCTGGCTGGGGTTGTCTGACCTCGGTCCTCTTTCCTGCCTGGGGCGGGTGGGTTGGACACAATGATCCTTCGTGGTCCCTTCTGACTCTACAATCCATGAATAGATGACTAAATTAAGATGTGTGCATGTGATGGGTTTGGGAAACAAAGGAATATGCTCACAGGACAAAATATGGACAGTATGACGACCACAGGGAAACCAATCAATGATGCCTGGGAACGAAGTCATCAGAAGAAAAAATAAATAATATGCATATATTTATTTTGGAGCAGCAAAGGGTCCCCAAGGGGGGAACCCGAGGCCACCACCAGCCTGTCTCACCTACCCCACCAGGGGTGGGGAGGGTGGGGGATGGGCCTCGAACTGCTGACATTCAAGAAAAAAAAAAAAAAAGTCACAGGGTGAGGCTTGTGTACTGGCTAAATGTATCTTCCCTCTGCGACAACCCTAGGACTGGTAAATATAAAATTTGGGGGAGGGGAGGGTTTGGGGGGGCATGGCATGGCATGGCATGGCATATTTTGTTGGCCTTGCCTGCATTATTCTTATCTGCTATCACTGTGTATCAGTAACATTTGCCTATTATTGAAATAAGAAGTCGTGGTCAGTCTGGGGGTTTGGGTCTGCCCACAGCAAGGTATCTGGGTCATAAATCCAGTGCCAACACTGAAAACAGCAGCACATTTCATTCAGGGCAGAATCAGGGCCTCAATCTTGGCCAGAGACAATCAAGTCCTACTTTTTGCTTCCCCTCTCCTGATTTAAAAAAAAAAAGTCAACCAGAACACATGCAATGTTACTGTTGTTTGTGCATTTTTCTAGCGAAGGAAAATTTTGTCCCAGCCTGACAAAGCCCTGGTTGGAATGATCTAACTGGGGATGGCCCTGCTTTGAGCAGGGGTTTGGACTAGATGACCTCCTGCGGTCCCTCCCAACCCTAATTTTTTCTATGATTCTAGTACTGTCCAGCATTAGCTAAAAAGAAGTCAGTTAGCTTAGTTCTTCAAACTGAATAAACTGGAAAGTCAGAAAAACAAATACACAAGAGCACATGATATCAAGTGGGAGTTTGCTGAGGGTGACGGCTATACAGCGTTATATATTTGCATGCCACGCCAACTTCAAACTTATCAGAAATCTAGAATTGTTGCACTGCCACAGGTACACAGAAAAATTTTATAACCTGCCCAATTTTGAAAATATAGTTGTTAGATAAAATATTTAGCTGCCTTTACCAGCATGGAGCCAACAAGATAATTTGCTCGTGTTGTGTGCAGTATTTAAATGACCAGCCAAGTCGTGGGGCTTCCTGGGACATGCAGAACTTTTGAACCTTGCCTTAGGATGACAGTCCTGAAATCTGATGGGCAAAGGATTGAACTTCAGATATGGTACAAAGACAGGGAGGAATAGAGGGTAAAATAAGCAAGCGCATATTATGACGTAAAGTACGACAGACATCTTGTTTAAGCCAGACAGCTATCTGTGTCAGCTTCTTCAAGATGTTGTGCAAGAAGTTGGTTTTGAAGGGTGATTGACATGGAAATTAATATGACATTCTCCTGAGCCAGCTCCAGAACAGAGTTCCACCGGGAAGGGTGCTGCAATGGAGCAGTGTTTGCCTGTCTCCATCTTGCAGCTTACAAGATTTCTCTGCTATGTGGTTGGTCCCCCTGCCAGTAATAACTGCATGCTACCATACTTGGAAAATTTTTCCTTTTACTTGCCTGCTGTTTGCATAGTACTCGGGTGCTCCATTCTGCTCAGGCTTGGTTTCTGGAGGTTTGGATTTGAAGTAGTTTACAAAACCACCAAAGACACTTTTAATGTTATTTATGTGTCTCTGACTAGTCTTTAAGTCCTGTTCCATTTTATCCACCATTTGTTCAGTGCGCTTTAATGCCTCACCCTGACGTACAAGCTCCTGAGGGGAAATCAACAGAAAAATCCAAGTTAGAGAAGGTGAGGGATGAGATAAGATTCAATGCCAATAGTTTTAAGTTAAGAATAAAAGTATTTAAAGCACCATTTCCCCTTTTCAGTCTGCAGCAATACATATTTTTAAAAGATTAGCTATACAAAATTACTATACTTCCTATTGGGAAACAGTCATAAAATGCTCCTTATGTACTTAAAAAGCAGTAGCTTTAAGATATAGCTCTGAGATAGACCAATTAGAAGAAAACAGGAAGACGAGATTTAATAATTTCATTTCCTAGCACATTAAAAACCTCAGTGCACCTCTACTATTACAAGGCTTTTAGGATTAGCATATGGATAAATGAACCATCTTACCCTCATTATAGCTGCAGATTTTTCAGTAATCTTGAGTAAAATTGTAAATTTGTTTCTCTCAAACTGATGATGTTCTCAATATTCTAATCTTCCTTCAAGCAGTTGATATATATTACGTAATTTATGATAATGCCTACAAGTCTTAACTGAGACTGGAGCCCACTGTTCTAGGTGCTATTCAAGAGAGTCCCTGAAACCAGAAAGATGAAGGGTGGGAGCAGAAACAAAGACACAGGGACGTAAAGTAAGTTACCCAAGCTCACATAGCTGGTCAGTGGTACAGCTACGTATATCCCTAGATCCTGATGCAGCACTTTATTTGCTAAACCATTATTTTGACATGTATGCTACAAATTAAGCCCCATATCCTCTTCAAGTGCCAGTCCAATCTCTTTCCCCTGCCCAGTCTGCTCCTTTGCTTTCTGCTTCCTGCACCCTCCCTAATCTACCGTGTCTCACAGAGGCTGCTTGTGCCCTTTTTGGCACCCTTCTATTACACCACCCTACTCCAAATCATCCCATGTTTGATCGTACCTAAACAATACATAATATAAATGAGAAAAGTAACAAATAGGAAGAATCCATATTTAAACCACCCTACAGGCAAACAAATGTTACTAGATTTTTATACTGAAGTTTTAAGCATGCTATGATCAGGAATCTGGCTGCAAGCCTGCTAAGCACTCTGAGGAACCACTCCTCGACACTCTATAAACAGCAGCCTCTTTCGTTTTCCAGTGCCTTAGCACCGGAAGCAAAGTAGCAAATGAGAAAGGACAATATTTTTTGTTAGTTTCACTTCCTAGTCAGCACCCTCTGTGTGCATGAAAGTGAAAGTGACAAGGACCTGACAATTATACTTCACTTGTGGGGGGAAGTGATGGAATTTGGGGATGGGGATGATAGAAAAGGGAGACAAGGCAAGAATCCAACCAAAAACAAGGCACCTAGCTTTTCATGTGGATAGATTCGAGTGCCCAAATAAAGAATTGCTTGCAGCAGGATTCAACAACTCCAGCTTTCATTGGCTATATAGTTCTTAGAACTAAGAAATGCCAGTTTTCTGTCACAACAGTAGTCTAGATTCTGTTCACAGTATCTGACATTACAAGGTCTTACACCTTTATCTGCCCTTGCTAAGTTAGGTTATTTTGTACCATGAAGGCATAGAAAACAAACACTGCCCACTGCCAAGTTTCTAGTGGTAAAGAAAGCAAGCTGGCCAGAATTAATTCAATCCATAAGCACCACTTACATTGACAAGGGCTTTTATTTTCTTGTTACTGGACTGAGCTAGGCAAACTGAAAGACAGCTGCTGACAGAAGTATTCCAATAGCAGTTATTTCCTTACAAGAGTTTTCTCTGTTAACTACCTCCTACAGGGTATGATTTGAACTTCTAAAGCACAGTTTGCATTTTGTTATTTTAGCAGGTTAAAAATAAATGGACAGCATTATTCTGTGGATTACTTCACTAAAATTGAATTGCGGTTGCATTAACGAAATGCCATTCTGGCTTGGATTCTAGTTAACAGTCCCTCAATCTTTTCCCTCATGCTCCTTATGCAAACAGCCACATTTATGTCATTCAAACACTATTAACCCTACATTTCTTATCTTTCCTGGACTTGTCCTTGCATCCTTACAGAATTTGTAGCATTACCTCTCACATTACACACACATAAAAACAATCACTATCACACTACTCAATTATATTGATACAGATAACTATATTCATTCCCTCAGGAGAACATGTGTAAAAAAATGTGAGTAAACATCCTTCATTAACAGGTGGCACGGCCCAAAAGTCCTTATTAAGAATGACTGTATATGCCTGGAGTAGATACTAACATCACTTACTCTCAAAATATTCCCATTAGTATTAAGGAAATGATTAACAACATTGAAACTAAGTTCATTGCAAGCAGTCTGCTGGGTAGGTTGTGGTCATCAATTAGGAAAAACAGGTCTAGCAGATTTTAGACAGAACAGCTATCATTAAGTTTTCTATTAACAGAATGGCATATTTTTTGCTCATATTCAGTAATCTTTTCACCCACAGAGGGTCATACAAACTATTTTAGGCATTAACAGGAGCCCTGAAGGGAAAGCAGTACTGGAAGCACTCTTAAGTTCCTATCTTAAAACGCTGAGGTAGTCAAGGTACCTTGGACTTCTCTTTTGATGAGAAAGAAGAAAAAAAAACCTACACTGCCAACACTGCTTCCCAACCCCCACAAAAATTACACAGATTTAAAAACCACTGAGAAAAAACAAACAGCAACAACTGATTAGATTCTTAAGGGTTTGCAATTCATGCAAGAAGGCAAAACACTGGTAATCAGTTTTAGTTGAGGTGCATATATATGCATATAGAATAAAACCCTTAGTGTCCCAGTCCTGTTTTGAGATGTTTTCTGAAGTTTATGAAGACAGAGATTTTACTAATAAGCTTAGTAAACCACTGTGGCTGTGAGTATGCCCAGTAAAAGGAGTCACCAGAAAGAAGAGTGTTCCATGTCAGCCAGTCACAGGTATGGCTACAGCTCACGTGGACGTAGCTTAAGCTAGCTTTAACGCATAGCCTGCATATGGAGACAAGTAGAGCTGTGGCAGAATGGTGTACATACAGCCTCACACCAGACGCAACCCTCACTTGAGGAGATGGGTAAATAAGGTGTCCAGATGCTGTGGCTACACTGCAGGCACTATCAGAGCTAGCTTGGATAGGTCTCCAGGAGCTGCAGTCAGATCCTTTGCAGTGTAGTCGTACCCTGGTTTACTACCAAGCTAGGCTGCATAAAGTTCACTTAAACAGATGGCAGATTTGAGCAGCAGCACCTACCTCTTCATGCTTAGAATTCATACTGCTGGCTAGCAAAATCTCTTACAGCTTACACAGCGCCTAAGGGGTGTGTCTGTCTGTCTGTCTGTGGCCTAATCAGCCAAATCAGTTCTGAATTATATTGACTGAGCAGAAGTCAATCATTGAAGTCTGTGTGGCACTATGACTGACATGTATCTTGCCTCCCTGGCTCTTCTGAGGGGTTCAGATACTCCCAAATCCACGGCAGGCTTCATATACACACGCCCCAAGCCTGGAGGCCTTGGAGTTCAGCTGTCCTCAAGTCTTGCTCTCCCCTAGTCAAAAGGCCATAGGAGCAAACTAAAGGGAGGCCTGAGAGCAATCCCCCACCACCATAAATTGTGTAGCCAAGATCCTCCCATTAGGAGGCTGTAGTAGACTCTCATGAGACTACCCACCCACAGTGCAATGGACAGGATCTCCCCTGCCAGGTACGGTAAAACCAACTGGGCAAACACCATCATCACAGTCTTGGCTCATTACCAACTCACCTCTGAAGTGGCCACCCCGACCTTCTCCGACTCGTAAATGAGAGAGAGCGAGCGGTGCGTGCTGTCCACCGTGGCTGCCGATCGCCTCAGCACCTCTTGCTGCATGTACCGCTGCTTGTTGGCAGCCTCCCTGCGCTGTCTCTCCACAGGGTCCTCCAGGTTGTCATCCGCTCCATCATTCCACCTCACCGGCTTCAAATCTTCATCGTCATCGTCAAACGGGTTGTAGCTCTTAGAATAAGTTGACATGATGCTGATTTTTGCTCTTCTCCCCCAGCTGCGGTGCAAGCACAGAGAAATAATGCGGGCTCGTGGCTGGCGCGTGCTGCCTGGGCCGGGAGCAACAGGCGGACTGAGACGGAGTGAGTCTCAACACAGGCGTGTTATCTGCGCTCAGGAGAGAGAGATGGGAGACAAGAAGAGTAACATGTTGTGACTTCCATGTACAGCCGCCAGTGCCATGCACTCACCCCCCCCAGCCCACACACCCTGTGGCCCCATGTGTACAGGCAAACCCACCAATATGCACACCCCTGTCCCCCTGTGTACACATGCCCCCAACACCTTCCTGCGTACACCTCTATATTCACACGCACCCACCTACAACTGCCCATGTTCATGCACCCCCACTCCCTCCTGCTTATGTGTGTTCATGTCCCCCCATGTACATGTACTCCCCACACCCCCAAGCTTACACTCGCCCCCGTATCCTGCCCACACACACGTGCTTCCCCAGTCCCTCTGAATACGTGCACCCCCGTGTACCGTGCCCCCATGCACACAGGCCCCCCGGGGCTCTCGGAGTACACGCGCCCGCCGTTTCCCTGAGCCCCCCACGTCCTTCCCATATACACATAGCCCCCCTTCCCCCGCCCGTTGCCATGGTGACGAGCCCCGCGCTCACCGCGGCCCCAACGCCGACTCCACCGAGCCCTGAGCGACCTAGCCCGCCTGCCCGGCTGCTTCCGGCCCCAGGACCAAACCATCGCCCAGCCCGGACGGGGGAAGCGGATGGTACGAACCATCTGTGCTCGAGAACTGGGTGGAACAAACCACTGCCAAGGGCAGGATTGCGAGTTGTCGTCCCAATGAGGTGGTTTAGACTCACGGCGCCCCGCCCCGCCCCGCCCCTCAGCTGGTGAAGCCGGCGTGGGAGGCGCCATACTGGTTGCAGGTCGGCCGGGGGCAGCTCTCG